GGCTGTACAGCTGAGCAGCAGCTGGGAGGAAGGATCTGTGACGGTGCTGCTTGGAGCATCCAGGGTACCGCTGGCCCCCTGATGGGCCAGCTGCTGCTCCAGCAAAGCCAAACCATAGAGGTAGGCTGATGTGACCACAGAGGAAGAAGGTCCTCAGCAGCTGAGGCTTCCTGTGAAGAGCCTCGATACGGTTCGGGTCCAGTCTAAAGACTAAAGAGACGACGGGAAACCAGTTAGAGATGTCTGTCAGAAAGTTTCCCTGAAGTTTTGCTGGACTCCTCCGTCCCTCCCTTCCCACCCTCTGCACGCTCCCATCAAATAAAACTTAACTTTCACCTGAAGAGAGAACGTTGGACCCCAGAGCAACAGTAAAGTTCTGTTGGTTCTCAGCCAGGCAGGAACCTCCTGATGGTTCTGGTTCAATGCAGGATTAGATGAGACCCAAATCCTGGATTTGATCGGCTTTTAAAATTATTCTGCATCTTTTTCTATGACACCTTTTTTTTCTTCACTAAATTCTCCATGCAGCCATATTTCCTTTAACATGGTCTGACTACCATGGTTGATACTCTCTGTTCGCCGCGGCTGTCTGACGGACGGCTGCCGTAACCAGAACATCACGTTTCTGCTCAAAATAAATGAAATGTCATCTAACCTTTGGAACCGACCCAAACTTTTCTCAGTCAACCACCACCGGGAAACGCTCCTGTAACCCAGAGCCTCCTTTCTGAGTCCAGTTCAGTTCTATTCTGTGTATTTCTATAGCTCCAATTCACATCATGTCATCTCAGGTCACTTTCCAGTTCAACCAGATCATCCAGTCAGATTGATTCAAAGTTTTCTATCTAAGGAAAACCAGCTGATTGCATCGACTCATTGACTCTTCAGCAATCCCTCACACTAAGCATGCTTGTAGCGACAGTGGAGAGGAAAAACTCCCTTTGAACAGGAAGAAACCTCCAGCAGAACCAGGCTCAGTGTGAGCGGCCATCTGCTGAGGCCCACTGGGGTTCAAGGAGACAGAAGCAGACATAGAAAAAGAAGCATAGATACAAAAGGCAACTGTCAACCAGCTCCACAGGCGGCCCCGTCCAGGAAACACACAGCCAGGCAGACGAGCTCCGAGCCAGCTCCCATGTCAGAGGATGAAGAGAGCACATCCAGTTAGTCACAGTCAGAGAAACAGGACTACACTGGAAAACAGGCCAAGCTCCAACATCTAGAAACAAAGGTGTTGATGGCAGCAGCACAGCTGATATTTCTCTCCAGGATGGAGTCACAGCCAAACAGGAACAGACCAGATGAAGCTACTATGAGAAAAAGCAGAGAGAGCAGAACGTTAGAGATTGAACTAACAGATTCTGCAGAGTGGGAGAATAGAGATAGAATGAAGCAGAATGATGAAAAAGGGGTCCCTATGTCCTCCAGCAGTCTAAGCCTATAGCAGCAGAACTATAGAGATAGCTCAGGATAACCTGAGTGTTTTGGATGAGGTATTAGAAAGGTGGATCCACAGTGTGACCAAGTTTATATATGTGAAGAATCAGATGCTAAGTGGGTCAGACGTCACCTCTGCCACACCTCAACGCCTGCAGCCAAGGAAGACCTAATTAATGCAGCGCTGTGAATCTCTGCTAATAGCTCAACTAAAGATGGAAAACGGTTAAAACCTTCGTGTCTGTCAGCTTCTAGTTCTCCTCTTCATCAGGAAGATGGTTTCTAAGATAGCCTGATATTTTCTCTGATTAATCAAAGATACCAAAAGAACATTTATCTTTATTAAAACCATCATTCCAACTGAGTTTGTTCATTCCTTTAGTTTCTGGCAGTATTAGTGAAATAGAGTGACATGTTCCTGAACATTTAGAAGCAGGTATGAGCTCCAGGTTCTGGTGGTTTGTTTGAGGACGGATCATAACGTCTCATTTTGTTTACAGGGATGCAAAATCTTTGGCTCGTATGAGTGCCAAGAAGACTCGTTTCTGTTCCAGTTGTCGTCTTTATCTGGGGGCTTTTGTTGGGTTAATGGTGGCCTCAACATGTGCCGATGGCTCACATAAATCTCTAAGTAAGATGGCTACCAGGTAGGTGGAGAAACGATGACAAACACTGGAGTTGGTAGATCTGTGTAGACTGAGCCCTCCATGTTCAAACCTTTCATTTTATGTATGAGTAGATTTGATTAAATGGAAGCCAAAAGAAAAGTGGCGCCTGAAAGGAACGGATGGATTCTGGTGGATTCTTTGGAAGCAGTAAGCTGCGATGAAACGGAGTCAAACTGTTAAAGAGGAACTTCAGGTCGGCAGCTTTTTAAAGCTCAGGGTTGAACCTTAGATGCTGTCTGACCCATAAGAGCTCACCACTGTGGTGAGACCACATTAAGTGACTTTTCACATTGATTCACCGCGCTGCAAAGAATGATGTAAAACTGCTATACATCTCCTAAAAAAAGTGACCTTTATGAGAGCAGAAAAATAAGATCTGAATTCAGATAATACTGGAAATAAAACTGTTTTTGAAACCTCAATCATCTGATTCCAAAGGCAAGTAGTCTTACTTACCTGCAAGAATCACGTATAAGAAAAATACATTTATTTGAAGAGATTGGACTCGGTTATGTTTCTGCTTTTTGCAGTTTTATAAAAGATAACCTCATCCTGCTGGCATCTTATTTATTTTTGAGCTTTACGTTTTATCTTTGCTCAGTTTGTTAGTAAATTAGGTGCATATTTACAGTAACAACACTTATTCTGAGTAGACTCCTTTCAAAGAAGATTAATAATCCAAAAAAATCTGCTCTGGATTATTTAAATGAATCTCAGAACAAGATCAAAGTACATTACAGCTGGATCTAAGATGGTGAGACTTGGTTAGATGATTAGAGAGGCACTAATGTTCCGCTCTAATATGAGCTCATCAGCAATGACTCTGAGATGAAGATTAAAATAATCTGGTTAAATGAGCTGGATTAAGGTGTGGTTTTACTTTCTGAAGCTGGATTTACCCGCCTCAGGTTCTGATTGGACGTCCTGGGGAGGATTCTGTAGAACATAGAGTTCCTCTGGATCAGCTGAGCTCTATTTAGTAGCTGCCTCCATTTCCACCATCTGGTTTTTTTGGTAGTTCTGCAGGTTTGCCAGCAGATGGCGTCATATCTGTTTATGGCTGGATCCTAATGCAGCGGCTGCGTCCTCCAAGGGCCCGGTCTACTTGGACTGGGTCCTTGAAGGTCTTTGAAAATCAGAAGGATGGAAAGGTTTGGCTATGGATTCAAACAGGTCCAGCCTTCTCCGGCCGAGCAACCTAACAGTTGACACACAAAGCAGGAAAAGAACAGATGGCAAACTTCTCACTACTATCCTAGGTGCTAATAACATTTTTGAGGAGCTTCAGCGGCAGTACCGTCGCCTCAGATATCAGATTTATGGTCCCCAGACTGCAGAGATGTTGGAATCTGAGCTTAGATATCGCACCATGTTTTATTTGTTGTTGTTTTTTTTTCTCCCACTCTTTACATTTAACAACTGCTGCGCCTTATGAAATGGAAAATTGCATTTCCTGTCTGGAAAGCTGTGCTGAATGAAATTTTGTTTTCTGAACACGCTCAGTCTACAAAGTGACAATAAAAGTTGTCTAAAGCCCCGTTTACGCTAGGCTCTGAAAACCGATCCGTGCCGAGCTCTGTTCCTTACGAATGTTTACGCTCCACGCTAGCAAGGTAGCACGGTTCCCCTCCTCCTAGTGGCGATCTACAGTACTACTTCTCTCTCGAGGGAATCACGCAAACCAACATGGCGGTGCCCGTAGAACTCAGGAAGTTTGCGGAGAGTCAGGCGAAGAAGGCAGCCTTTGGTGAATTAGCTTGACAGAGTCGGATTTTAGGAAGTGGATACGACAAACGATAGTCTAATCAGGGCTTCCAGACGCAGGAAACAATGACAGACATTGAGGTTCATCACACTGCTGAGCAGAATCATCACTGGAAATCATGCGACACGGTAGGGAAGCTAGGATTTTTATGAATGTCTGAAAGTTCCTGATTATGGAGGCTGACGGTAGGAGATGACGCGGTCTGGACAAGCACTCTTTGTTATCAGAGAACCGAGCCAGAACTGAACCGCGTCGAGCCCTGCTGAAGAACTAGTATCATGTTAGCGCGGTTCGGTTGTGTCTGGTTTGGTTTGGTTCAGTTGTGCGTGCACTCATCAGTTATCTCAGTTACCGTGCTCGGACCGATCTCGGCAGGGTTTCAAAGGGTAGTGGAAATGGGGATTAAGTCTAAGCTTAAATCACATAACCATTAAAACAACTGTTTCCATTCATGTCAGACAGAACTATTCACAGGCTTGGATTATATTAAACTGCACTTCCAATATTCACCACTGTTCGGCGCCATTTCCTTTTTTCCTCTGAGCGCGAAGCAACCGGCTTGATTTGATTTGCAATGAATCCTGGGATTCCCAAAGCTGTGGAGGATACAGCAGACCGTCCTTCAAAACGGCCAGAAAGAAGGACGCATTTGTCGGCCGCGTAACGAGGAGTCTTCCGAACAAGCCTCGGCGCCACGCTATGACATCATTGGCCGAACAATCTGGCCGTCAGAGAACGCAGCCGCCGGATCCAAACCCGCATAGATCTGCTTATTTTAAGAATTGCTGTCTAGACGTCACCTGGTTTTAGTGACGGGTTCTGGATTATTGTTCACTGGAAGAGGAACAGATGGGTGGCGCCCCCTGCTGGTGGCAGTCCTCTTTCATCCTGTTAGCTTTTCCACCTGGTCCGTGTTCTCGCGGTACAGACCTGAAAAGCGGTACAGGTCTCAGTCCTTATGGGTCAAACTGCATCGTTTCCGTCTTCATTCCAGGCTTGTTGCTGCCTGATGTTTTCAGCTTCATCCTGCTGACCTTCCTGGAGTTCCTCTTTAGCTTCCTGTCAAACTGTCACTGCCTGAGAAACCAGGAGAAAATCAAATGTGTTTCTGTGTTTGTTGTATTTTGCAGCCGCAGCAGGGCATCGGCCGGCCCAGCGTCTACCACGCCGTGGTGGTGATTTTCCTGGAGTTCTTCGCCTGGGGCCTGCTCACCACGCCGATGCTCACCGTGAGGAGACGCTTCATCCCCTGCAGGTTTCCTCTGGATATCTACCGTTTATGTGTGATATTTTCTGTGTTTTTTGCAGGTTTTACATGAAACGTTTCCCCAGCACACGTTCCTGATGAACGGGCTGATCCAGGGGGTGAAGGTAAGAGCAGGAGGCGGATCCTCAGCAGCTTTCTGTTGGTCCTCTGCTTCTCCCTCACTGAACGAGGCTTCTCCTGTGCAGGGCCTGCTGTCCTTCATGTCTGCTCCTCTCATCGGGGCGCTGTCCGATGTCTGGGGTCGGAGGTCTTTCCTCCTCATCACAGTCTTCTTCACCTGCGCTCCGATCCCTCTGATGAGGCTCAGCCCCTGGTAGGACGTCATGCCTTTACTGTCTTAGCTGCTGGGTGGGGGATGGACGGCGTGAGGTCCGACGCTGCGTTCACGCCGAAGGCCTCATGGGCGTCTGTATGCTGGATCAAACAGCGGTCAAGCTGCTTTGATGCTTCTGTAGCTTCTGTATTATTTACTTTATAAGATGGAAAAATGTTTCTCGTTTAAAAACACATTTTAAGTGAGAAAGTCCACCTCCAAACATCCTCTATTCATCAGTTCATCAGGATTATGATCCCACTAAACTCCGCAGCTCTCATTCGGAGCGCCAGACCTCACGTGTCCCGCCGCTGTAGGAACCACATCTGCTTCCTGCCGGTAACGTTACGCTACTTGATTGGCTGAAAGTTGCCACAGGATGTGAAACATTGTGGTTGCCCAGACAATGATAACATCATGCAGAGTCCGTGTGTCGAGTCTGGAACATCGGTAGCGTTAGCGTGTCTAACGACCAAAGAAGTTTTACCTGATCGATAACAAAACTGGAAAAAAAAAACTGTTTCTGGTGAACAAAGTAACTTTTAGACCATTAAATAAAGATGTGTCTAGCTGCGCTCAGTAGCTAACAGGTTAGCCTCTTTTAGCTCGCTCAGTTAGCTAGATTGAGCTATACCACTTTAACTTTGTGTCAACAACAACCGTTTGTTTTCTACAAGTAGAATAACTGTTTTATTCATCTAAAATCTATATGAAAGTCATTTTTTAGATGTTCCATTTGTCCTCCTCTGACCTCAGATCTTAATGAAAGAATAAAAATAAGCTGGGAATTTCTGTTAAATGGCAGAGTTTAGTCTGTCTGATCCTCTGCTCCTCTGGGGGGCGGGGCTTTCCTCCACAGTCAGGAGCCAAGAACCCTTACTATTGGTCAAGAACGAGCGTCTGGATTGGGCTGGAAGTGAAGAAAATGTGGCCGTAAAATGCCATCTTTAAAAATGCATTTCCTAAAACTCAGTTTGAAAAAAATATCAAAAATTTAAACATTTTTAAAAATGACATGAAAAAATAAAAATTAAAAAAATGGATTTGAAAAATCGAAGGAAAACAGCATTTTTTTTTATTAAAACGTTAAATAATGCAGAAGGAACAATAATGGAACAAAATAAATTAACGTTAACGTTATCGCTGCATAGTGACATCACAGAGCCATTGGGGAGTGGCGGCCTACTGGTTAGGGCATAGAGCTTTGAATCCAGAGGTTCTGGGTCTGAGTCCCACAGACTGCCCAGTCCCTGTGCAAAGACCCTTAACCCCACACTGCTCCCTGGGCGCTGCACAATGGCAGCCCACTGCTCCTCAAAGGGATGCAGAGAGTTCATTTCTCCAGTGTGAGATCAAGAAAGTATTAATATGAATGAAAGGAGGCAGATGGAGGCAGCAGCGATGCAGGAGCTGCACCTCCTCTGAAGACTCCTTCTGTTTATATTGAGTGTTTTGCTCAGTTTTTAACCCGCCTCCAATCTTTGTAGCATTTAAACAAACAGGAGGTGGTGCAGGGGTTAAGCGTGCCACCCACGTCACAGGGTGGTGTCCTAACCTGGTGACCCTGTGCTGCAGGTCCCCTCCATCTCTCTGATGCCACTTCCTGTCTGCCTACTTTATAAAATGACAAAATAAAGGCCAGTTACAGACTAAAAATGAACTTTTAAAAAATCTGTCTACCTTAAATCATTAAAACTACTGGATTTAAAGTCCAATTATTTTAAATTTGTTATCAAAAAGTTGGGTAATTTAATTAGTTAATGTCAACCACGCCCGCTGTTACTACGCTGCAGCATCCCTAGGGGGCCCCAACAGAACACCTAACCTATATGTCTCTGGACCAGAGTGAAGGAAGGGACTCGCTCCGTACATTCAGGTCGGCCATGTTGGGGTGGAACCGGCGGCTATAGAGCTTGGATAGAAATATAAGGCTGTGTGTGAGCTGGGTGTTTAAAATAGAAAATCCCTGAAGGTCTGTTCTTCTTACTTCCGTCTGTTCCTGCTTCAGGTGGTACTTCGCCATGATCTCCATGTCTGGAGCTTTCTCCGTCACCTTCTCCGTGATCTTCGCCTACGTCGCTGATGTGACGGATGAGCGAGAGAGGAGCACGGCCTACGGTCTGGTAAGACCTGGTTCTGACCGGTTCTAGCCGTTTCTCGGGGTCTTCGAACGTCGCCAACCTCGGCTCTGGTCCCTCCAGGTCTCGGCCACGTTTGCAGCCAGCCTGGTGACGAGTCCGGCCATCGGGGCGTACCTGTCGGCCTGGTACGGAGATAACCTGGTGGTCCTGCTGGCCACGCTCATCTCGCTGGCCGACATCTGCTTCATCCTGCTGGCCGTCCCCGAGTCGCTGCCGGACAAGATGAGGCTGAATACGTGGGGGACGCCTTTCACCTGGGAGCAGGCCGACCCTTTCGCTGTCAGTAACCAGAACCTCTGAGCGCTGTGTTAGATCAGTTAGTGGCTGAATGAGAGCTTTGTTTCACCCTGTAGCTGCATGATTTTAACCTCCTGTCTGTTTTTGGACGCAGTATGTTGAGTGAAGACGTGGCCGAAGGCACCAATGTTCCTCGAGGCAGTAACTCCTCTTAAATAATTAATTTCTAATATCTGCTAAATGCTAAGGGCTCTGTAACTCTGCAGTTCCACCTTAAATCAGAGCAGTTCAGTGCTTTAGTCCAACCCTTTGAGTTCCAGACGCTAACTGGAGGCTAACTGATGGTCTGACGGCGCCGCTGGTGTATTTTCTGTCCCTCTCTCTGTCTGTCTCTTATTCAGTCTCTGAGGAAGGTGGGTCAGGACTCCACAGTCCTGCTGATCTGCATCACCGTCTTCCTGTCCTACCTGCCGGAGGCCGGCCAGTACTCCAGCTTCTTCCTCTACCTGAGACAGGTGACGAAAGATCTTTCCTTTGGAAAAGTTTTCATTTGATATAGTTTGAAATGTATGTTTACATCTAAAACTAAAATGTTTAAGAGCTTCATCTGGATTTTCTATAAAAAGCTGTAATTCCATTCCAATGGTGAAGCACGGCAGAGGCAGCGTCATGCTGTAGAGATTCATTAAAGAAGGTTTTAAAACTCCTCGTGGATCTGTTTCCCTCCAGGTGATAAACTTCTCCTCCACGACCATCGCCGTGTTCATCGGGGTCGTTGGCATCCTGTCCATCGTTGCCCAGGTAACCAACCCCCCTGCTGCGTCACTTCCTGCGTATTTTGTTCAGGTTAAAACCGTAACCACGCCTCCTTTCCCCCTCAGACTCTCTTTCTCACCCTGCTGATGAGATACCTGGGAAACAAGAACACGGTCCTGCTGGGTCTGGGTTTCCAGATCCTCCAGCTGGCCTGGTACGGCTTCGGATCAGAACCATGGTGAGGCTGATTTCTTTTATTTTTTGACTAATGCAGATTTTATTGATCTGTGTTTAATGTAGAATTCATAGTAGATCAGGAAGTGTTTGCTTTGGGATGGAAACCTTGGATGTCTAAAATTATTCCTTTATTGGACATTTTGTCTGTCTGCTATATTAACCAATAGAATGTGTTGAACTAGATCTGCTATTTTCACAGCTTTTGGGAGAAACTTTTTTATAAAATAGGGCATTAATTCATATAAAAGTTTATTTGAATTCTATAAATCAAAGTTTTCTGCCCAGCAGCAATGATGATCTGCACAGCAGCATTCTATACCCAGCTATTGTAGCATCTAGGATAGAGCTGTCAGTCTGGGAAAGAATGTGGTCTGTATTATAAATTGTAAAGGTTCATTTTTTTTGCAACATGAAACCGACTAAAACTTAAAAAGGTTTTAGTCTGTTTTATGTTGCAATGACTAAAATGAGACTAAAACCAATAATAATTTTCGTCCTGAAGACTAAAACTAGATCTAAGATGGCTGTCAGAAACAACACTGGCGACGACCACCTCGGTCTAAGGAGGCTCCACCACGAGTATCTAGCTAAAGGTTCAGGGTGGCGCTGTGGGAGGAGCTTTTAGAAAGATGCCAGCCGCTCATCCTCTGCCATGTTTCTGTCCCAGGATGATGTGGGCCGCCGGAGCCGTTGCAGCGATGTCCTCCATCACCTTCCCCGCCGTCTCCGCTCTGGTGTCACAGTCGGCCGATTCCGATAAACAAGGTGGGCGGGAGGAGCCCCTCCATCGGGTCTGCGGGCGCAGCGATCATCCAGGGTGCGGATTAACGAACGCAGCTTGGTTCTGTCTGCAGGGGTGGTCCAGGGGATGATCACCGGCATCAGAGGTCTCTGTAACGGCCTGGGCCCAGCTCTCTACGGATTCATCTTCTTCCTCTTCAACGTGGAGTTCAACACAATGGATCCCATCCAGGAAGAGTACAGCATCGACCCGCTGCCTCTGCACGGCCCCACCGAGGTAAAAACTCCCACCCCAGCCGTCCTGCATGCTGGCTGGGAGCAGGTGGGTCCAGTTCTGTTAGAGGGAACCAATGAGCTGTGACGGTCTGATGCTAAAGAACATGGATCTGATCTGCTTTACTTCTTAAAGAAAAACTAACTTATTAAGAGTCAGAACCTCGTATTCACTGATTCAATCTGTCAGAAACTGTCTTTAAATTCATTTTATGACAAAAAGATTTAAATAGAGATGATTCCGACTGTTTTATTTTAGTGAGGGTATGCAGGAGCCTTAGCAAATTAGCATTTATCCATGCTAGTTTACCATCATTTCCTGGTTGCTGACACAACAGGTAAGAAGATAGCGAGTAGCAACACTAATGATACATGATGTGTGGAACCTCAGCCGTTCCTCAGTTCCTCTCCAAGTCCGTTCTTGACTAGAACGCAGGAAAGTCTGGACTCGGGTCAACTGGAACAGAAGTGTACTGATGACATCACTAGTCTGGAGCTGCATTTCACCTCCTGTTATTAATAGTCTCTAGATAATAATAAATTAGGACTTTTTTCATTTAGTGGAGGAATAATAATGAACACAGTCAGATAAACATAAATCAAATGAACATTTTACCAAACCCTCTCTCTATGCAGAGAGAGGACTACTGCAGACGGGCTGCAGTTAGCCTCCGCAGACGGGCTGCAGTTAGCCGCCGCAGACGGGCTGCAGTTAGCCTCCGCAGACGGGCTGCAGTTAGCCGCCGCAGAGGTGCTGCAGTTAGCCGCCGCAGACGGGCTGCAGTTAGCCGCCGCAGACGGGCTGCAGTTAGCCTCCGCAGACGGGCTGCAGTTAGCCGCCGCAGAGGTGCTGCAGTTAGCCGCCGCAGACGGGCTGCAGTTAGCCGCCGCAGACGGGCTGCAGTTAGCCGCCGCAGACGGGCTGCAGTTAGCCGCCGCAGACGGGCTGCAGTTAGCCGCCGCAGACGGGCTGCAGTTAGCCGCCGCAGAGGGGCTGCAGTTAGCCGCCGCAGAGGGGCTGCAGTTAGCCTCCGCAGACGGGCTGCAGTTAGCCTCCGCAGACGGGCTGCAGTTAGCCGCCGCAGACGGGCTGCAGTTAGCCGCCGCAGACGGGCTGCAGTTAGCCGCCGCAGACGGGCTGCAGTTAGCCGCCGCAGACGGGCTGCAGTTAGCCTCCGCAGACGGGCTGCAGTTAGCCGCCGCAGAGGTGCTGCAGTTAGCCGCCGCAGACGGGCTGCAGTTAGCCGCCGCAGACGGGCTGCAGTTAGCCGCCGCAGACGGGCTGCAGTTAGCCGCCGCAGACGGGCTGCTGTTAGCCGCCGCAGACGGGCTGCAGTTAGCCGCCGCAGAGGGGCTGCAGTTAGCCGCCGCAGACGGGCTGCAGTTAGCCGCCGCAGACGGGCTGCCGTTAGCCGCCGCAGACGGGCTGCAGTTAGCCTCCGCAGACGGGCTGCAGTTAGCCTCCGCAGACGGGCTGCAGTTAGCCTCCGCAGACGGGCTGCAGTTAGCCTCCGCAGACGGGCTGCAGTTAGCCGCCGCAGACGGGCTGCAGTTAGCCGCCGCAGACGGGCTGCAGTTAGCCGCCGCAGACGGGCTGCAGTTAGCCGCCGCAGACGGGCTGCAGTTAGCCGCCGCAGACGGGCTGCAGTTAGCCGCCGCAGACGGGCTGCAGTTAGCCTCCGCAGACGGGCTGCAGTTAGCCTCCGCAGACGGGCTGCAGTTAGCCGCCGCAGACGGGCTGCAGTTAGCCTCCGCAGACGGGCTGCAGTTAGCCTCCGCAGACGGGCTGCAGTTAGCCTCCGCAGACGGGCTGCAGTTAGCCTCCGCAGACGGGCTGCAGTTAGCCGCCGCAGACGGGCTGCAGTTAGCCGCCGCAGACGGGCTGCAGTTAGCCGCCGCAGACGGGCTGCAGTTAGCCGCCGCAGACGGGCTGCAGTTAGCCGCCGCAGACGGGCTGCAGTTAGCCGCCGCAGACGGGCTGCAGTTAGCCGCCGCAGACGGGCTGCAGTTAGCCGCCGCAGACGGGCTGCAGTTAGCCCCGGCTGCCGCGGACGGGCTAACTCAGTTAAAAATCGAAATGGTTACAGATGACTCCAGAGAACCCGACTCGGTTCCTGTGATGAAGCTGAAATCTCTGCAGCTGTAAATATTATATTATTGTTTGAAAGCATTCAGGACAGATTGCTTGTAGGAAAACTGTTCCAGACATTTTCTTTTCTTTAAGACATGAGATCTAGATAACATGATGGGAATGTTCTTCTTTCCTACCAGCATAATATCTGCTGCTCAACATTATAGGAGTAATATTTGTTGTTTTTCTGCTACAGCGGCGTTTTTATGACAGTCTTTGTAGTTAATCTGCATCAGCGTTGGAATAACTGACCGCCTGAGATTAACAGATTATCAGGTATATATGTTGACCTTGGATGTAAACCTCAAACTGAAGCGTTCTCTCTGCAGCACGGCCATCATTCAGCTGTAGAGAACAGCTGTGAGTCACACTGCACACCCCCACAACCGGTTTCTATAGCAACAACTCAATGTCACATAGAACAGCTTGATTTTTATGCAGATTCTTAGCAGGACGGCGTGTTCCTGAAAGCTCTGAGCAGACGTGTCGGGTAGATGTCTGCTCTGTCTCCTTCAGCCGCCATCATAAACGTCTCCATCGACGGAAATGTTGGAAACATCTGAGTTTTCTACATGTAGCGTAGCGCTGTTAGCTTGCAGCCAGTGGTACGCGCCCCCTAAAGTCGACCAGATTATTAGGTACAGTAAGAGTGTGTATTCAGGAGGAGGAGGGGCTAAGATGGAACCTCACAGTCCTACAATTACTGTTTTTATATTATTTTACCGAAGACTAGATTCTCTGGAAGTTAGACCTTCAACTAGCCGTTGTTTTGCTAATCGATTAATCTTATTTTTAACGATGAATCGATTAATAATTGGATAGCAAAAGTTTCCTTAAAGACGCTTTTTTATTAAAGAATTAAACTAGATGAAACTAAAAGTTTTCCACTTGAGGAGATTGAGCAGACTGACAGATAAATGATTTTAAAAGCAACATATGTAAAATAAATACATGATTTTACAGCAGCTGCTAAGAAGGCGTCATGGATCACGACCACAGAACGGCTGGTTCTGACGTTTTCTTCTCACTGTTAATATTTAAAAAAGATTTCAGAGAAAATGTTCCTGAAGTTTCTCCTATTCTCTGTTCGCAGCAAGCGCTCATTCCGGGTCCGCCCTTCCTGCTCGGGGCGTGCACCGTGGTCGTCGCCTTTCTCGTCGCCCTCTTCATCCCTGAAAAGACGTCCTGCTCCTCCTCCGAGCTCTCCCTCAATGACAAGCCCCTCCCAGACAACAAAGAGGCCATATCCTCGCTGGCCGGCGTCCACATCAACACGCCGCTGCCAGGCAGCGACGAGGAGACCCCGCCCTCTGCCAGCGGCGAGGACGAGGAGCCGCTGCTGCACGACAGCATCGTCTGAGGGAGCCGCTGCGGCGCCAAACCACAAAAACTTTGTGTTTGTTTGTTTTTAGCCAGAAGTTGGGACAGAGCGCCGTTTTTTGCCTCTCTGCCGAACGGCGAGATGAACGTTTGATCAACAGAGGAAGCATCATCCCGACCAATCAGGACCCGTCTTTAACGAGCGGGTTCAACCTGAGCCGGCGGCCCTCAGAGAACCAGGAGCTCTGCTTTGATCAGTCTGGGTGGACGGATGTAGATCCTGAAATCTAGATGTTTGAGGCTTTTTGGACGATTTCACTTCTTTTATTTTAAATCTTTCATCTGTTTTAATTGAGAAGTTAATTTAAACGTCAGCCAAACATCCGGGTTTATTTATACTCATGTTTTATCCATCAGTGTTTCTGGAGAACAGATTGAGATCAAATCTAAAATGAATTATCCTTCTTTAATCTCATGGTGAGATTAAACCAAAGCTGATAAATTAGGAGGCGGGACTTAATTCCGAGGTTAAAGAGAAACAGACATGATGGATTCTGGTGGGTCCTTCTACCTCTCCACCTTTTTATTTTTATATCAAAGTCACTTTATTTCAGCGCTGCTGGCGGAGGGACTAACCTCCCTTCATGTTGCAGCTGGGCATCCCGTGGCGGCCCCCCAGGGCTGTGTCTAAACGCTGGAGGCACCGCTGACCTTCCTGTCAATGAATTCATACTTGAAGCATCCTCTATAGCCGTGGAGAAGGTCTAACAGTATTTAACGGCCACACTGTACATAGTTTGGCTTCGTGGTGACTTTAAAATGTAGAAGCACTTTTGAATGACAGCCTGGTTTGTAACCGCTGCGGGTGTGACGTGTGTTCGGCCTGGTTTCCGGCTGCTTCCGGCTGCTTCTGGCCAGGTTCAGAGGGCACACATCATCGTGGGCTTTTCACGTGTTTACAGACGTGTAGTTCACGATACACGCATTTATTTTCCACGTCTGAAACCAACAAAATGCAGAGAGAGAAAAAAAAAGTAAGAATAGAGTGAAAACCTGTCGACGGCATTAATGTACGTAGCACATTGATCAGTCAGGAAGGAAGGAAACCAGGAGGGATGAATGCTGGAGCAGGGAGACCTAACAAACCAGCACCACAGGGAGGAATGTAGAAGCTTCAGTCAGCTCACTTCTGACCAAATACTGGTTAAAATACCGAACAGGAACAGGAAACATCTGGCAGGTGGAGCTAACGCTCATTAAACATGTTCAGCAGGTTGGTGCTGATGGTGGAAACGAGGTGAAAGCTGCTCTAAAGCTAAACGCTTTGGATGCCTCAGTGGTCCGGCTGTTGACTCCCTGTTCTTGGTGTGATGTTTGATCCTGGACATGGTTCTGATTGAGGAGCTCGTCCATCTGTCCTTCAGTGACGCTAGCGCCATCTTTGAGCCGCCTCTCATCGCTCAGACCGGAGCGAGGGATGGCTGCTGTTAAAGACGCCATGTTAGCTTCCATACCTTCATACTGATGGGTTCATCTGAGCTAACAGAACCGTTTCTCTGATGCTTCTTCACTTCCTCCAGTTTTTTCCCAAACAGCAGAGGCCTTTCAGATGGAAGGAGAAACATCTTTAGGAACCAAACAGAAGTGCTGTTCTTTTCAGGCGGGGATCCGTTTCCTGGAACATTTCCGTCGTTGCTTCGGACGGGCAGCTAATTCCTATTCCGGTGTTTTTTGTATCCGATCAGATCAGCCCAGTCTCGGTATATTAACACACAGACTGAGGCTGAAGGTCTCGTTTTTCCGAAGTCGTCTTTTTAAGGATTGAACGTGCTCAAACATTTTTTTAGATCTTTTACTAAACAAATGATCGGGTCATTTTTTTTCCTGAGACCAATCAATGTTCCTTTGGAAATATTCCCAGCTGCTGTAAATACTGATCCGAGCGGCGACTCGGTTCGACGGCTCATCAAACCGACCTGCTGCTGTAAATACTGTACATGGATTGGATGTCTACACGTGAGCTGAGATGTAAATGAGGTTTACTGTCGTCTGTACCAGCCATCTATTGATTATTGATATTAAAACGGTACAACCACATTTCATTTCTGCTTCATGTCTGTTTAACCCCATCCCCCCAATGATAAGCAGGTATTGATTGTCTATCAACACTTTCATAGATCCTGAAACTTTTCCATCCAGTCGTTGGTTTATCCATTATTCCGTCTTTTCTTAAATCCACCCAGTCTTAACTTCCGGTAAATCAGTTTATTGTTTTTATTTCTTAGAGCTGAAACAATAACCTTAATTGATCATTTGGTAATTAAATCGTTAATAATGAGACTGAACAATTTGCTGAAAGAAAAACGGCGCAGTTCCAACAAAACAAAAAATAAATGTAAACAAATACTTTCTATTTAACATCTTTAAATATATATGTGTATATATATAATTACATGCCACTCTGGGTCCCTGAGCAAGACCCTAAACGCCCCCACTGCTCCCTAAGGGGAGGGGTTAAACTCAGAGAGGGAATTTCTCCAAAGTGGGACAATAAAGGGATTTACATTACATTACTTTCCTACTATTCTCTTTGCCATTTATAATTTATTAAAAGTTTGCTTTTTTTTTCTAAATGAGAAATATTTATTTCTACAAAACTTTATTCACCTATTAAATGAAGTCTTTTATGTTGATCAGAATCTGAATTACTTTATTAATCCCTTCTAGAGATTAATTAATCACTCTTGCAGTGAAATCGTTTACAGAAGAAAAAAAAAATAAGATTGTGAAAACAATATAAGTCAATAAAATAAGTAAAATTACAACCTTCACAGTAAAATGACACCTTTCCCATATAAACAGTGTGAAATAAGATATAAGAATAAAATAAGGATCTCAGTGTAAACAACAGTATTTATAATACTGTGATGGAGAAGAGACCTGTCCAGGGTGGACCCCTCCTCTCACCCGTAGACAGCTGGAGATAGACACCAGCACCCCTCGCCACCCCACTTGGGATATAAGAGTGTTAGAAGATGGATGGATTATGGAGTGATGCTGCAATGAGTTAGGAAACTGAGGCGGAGGTTTTTCTTGCGAGAAATAATGATCAAATATATTTAACATCCTCAGACGGAGAGATGGAGCTCTCTGACTGCAGCATTTCAGTACGAACATTTATACCTTACAAAATCACCCCCCCCCCCCAGGGGAACGAACCCACCCCCTGCATAAGGAAACTTTTTCACACTTGAACATTTAATTATTCCCAAGAAAAAAAAAATTAAATTCATCAAGGAGATAAATTTTAGCCAAATAAAAATTCAGTAGATCCTTCCCTTCACCCTTCTCTAGAGGAGGGAGGCATCTGCTTTCTGGCCCCCCCACCTTAAACATTATCAGCATAGAGGCTGATCCAAGATATCTCTGGACTCACTTCTATTCAGGCAGGCACACTCAAAACATTTTATCTCACAAATAGGCCAAAGAAAAATATGGTTCCAGCAGATGATATCCTACACTGAAAAAAAAATAGAGGTTGACAGAACTTACATTTTCTAGGCAACGTGATGCATTTGGTTTTTTGAGTTTTCCTTACTTAAATTCACTGTGGTTGAGTTTACAAAGATTTTTGAGTTCTGCCAACTTAGGTTTTTGGAGTGTTACATAGAAATTTTGAGTTCTACCAACTTAGGTTTTTGAGTTTCACCTTTAAGTTCTGAGTTCTATCAACTTTGTTTTATGAGTTTGACATATAGATTTTGAGTTCTACAAACTCAGATTTTGTAGTGTTATCTGCAAGTTGAGTTCTATCAACTCAGTTTTTTTAGTCCTACCAATCGTCTTCACTACCAATCATTCAACACACAAAAAATTATGTTAATACAACATTTTTATTGCTTCAAGCCAAACATTGCATCAATAGATACAGTATAAAACCATGTTCAACAACATAATCTTAACTGCACAGATCAAAGTAACCTGACACTGGACCAGAATGTTCTAGATTCGTAAGAGTGATGATGAGGGAAAAAACAGTAAGACACCATTTTAGTAAGAGGAAAACACACAGGTAATTTTTTGTGAAGTAAGTGTATTAACATACACTATATTGCCAAAAGTATTTGCTCACCTGCCTTGACTCACATATGAGCTTAAGTGACATCCCGTTCCTAATCCATAGGGTTCAATATGACGTCGGTCCACCCTTTGCAGCTAGAACAGCTTCAACTCTTCTGGGAAGGCTGTCCACAAGGTTTAGGAGTGTGTTTATGGGAATTTTTGACCATTCTTCCAGAAGCGCATTTGTGAGGTCGCACACTGATGTTGGACGAGAAGGCCTGGCTCTCAGTCTCCGCTCTAATTCATCCCAAAGGTGTTCTATCGGGTTGAGGTCAGGACTCTGTGCAGGCCAGTCAAGTTCATCCACACCAGACTCTGTCATCCATGTCTTTATGGACCTTGCTTTGTGCACTGGTGCACAGTCATGTTGGAAGAGGAAGGGGCCAGCTCCAAACTGTTCCCACAAAGTTGGGAGCATGGAATTGTCCAAAATGTCTTGGTATGCTGAAGCATTCAGAGTTCCTTTCACTGGAACTAAGGGGCCAAGCCCAGCTCCTGAAAAACAACCCCACACCATAATCCCCCCTCCACCAAACTTTACACTTGGCACAATGCAGTCAGACAAGTACCGTTCTCCTGGCAACCGCCAAACCCAGACCCGTCCATCAGATTGCCAGATGGAGAAGCGCGATTTGTCACTCCAGAGAACGCGTCTCCACTGCTCTAGAGTCCAGTGGCGGCGTGCTTTACACCACCGCATCCGACGCTTTGCATTGCACTTGGTGATGTATGGCTTGGATGCAGCTGCTCGACCATGGAAACCCATTCCATGAAGCTCTCTGCGCACTGTTCTTGAGCTAATCTGAAGGCCACATGAAGTTTGGAGGTCTGTAGTGATTGACTCTGCAGAAAGTTGGCGACCTCTTCGCACTATGCGCGTCAGCATCCGCTGACCCCGCTCCGTCAGTTTACGTGGCCTACCACTTCGTGGCTGAGTTGCTGTCGTTCCCAAACACTTCCATTTTCTTATAATACAGCTGACAGTTGACTGTGGAATATTTAGGAGCGAGGAAATTTCACGACTGGATTTGTTGCACAGGTGGCATCCTATCACAGTTCCACGCTGGAATTCACTGAGCTCCTGAGAGCGACCCATTCTTTCACAAATGTTTGTAAAAACAGTCTGCATGCCTAGGTGCTTGAATTTATACACCTGTGGCCATGGAAGTGATTGGAACACCTGATTCCAATAATTTGGATGGGTGAGCAAATACTTTTGGCAATATAGTGTATATGAAAAAATAACAGTTTTACAAATTTGGACAGCCTTCAGTTTGTTTTTTTCAATTGTAGTCTCTTTAAATTGGGTGCACCCTTTTAAAAAAAATAAAATGAAATAAAATGTCTTGTTTCCCAACGGAAAAAGAAAAAGGTTTTCCCTTTTTATCTCTGAGTTTTTCTTTTTAGTCCTACCACTCCGACAGGACGATGAATGCAAAAAAAGAAAGTCCTCTTCGGTCCAAATCCTTCTCTTCAGTCCAAATCCAGATGTTCACACGGTTGGCTCGCCATCTCCATTTAAGGAGAGAATCCAGAATCCAGGGTATCCAAAAAACCCAGCCTGCATAGTACAACAGAGCTTAGTTAAATCCATTCACTTCTTGTTCTTAACTGTACAGTTTATATCTCTCCAAGTATGATAAATTTCAGTGTGTAATGTAACTTTTCTAACTCATTACGAATTAACTGCTGCATTACAGGGTTAACATATAAAATGTTAATGTCACTGTTTTTCTTGTAAAGCAAATAAAATCATGAAAGCAAAAAATCCACATGTAAATAATGTAAATAACAGTAAATACCCACATCGGATTAAGAAAGTAAAATAATGTAGTCTTGTAATATTCTGTGCCTGAGTGCAACAACACTGCACTACATAAAACAATTTAGAAATTTAATAAGTTATTACACTCAACTTAATGTCTCTTTTCATTTGTACAATGAAAATAACAGGCACACTCTTTTCTCTATGCATAAACACGCACGCGCACACGCGCTTTATAAACGCGCACGTGCGCTGCTTTTCCTTTCATCAGAACGTGAAAAACATGTGAACTCATGCTTCAACTCGGTGGCAATACACCACAAGGGAATGCTAACTCACGGAGCTAACCGCTAACTGTCTGTACTTTGCAGCACTCACCGGGAAAACTGGTAAGGTCCCAGGGTCGTTCCTCCGTGGTTCTCCAGATGCATAAAATCACAATGTCCGCCAATCTTCTCAAACACGAGGGAAAAAGGCTGTGCCCTTGAAGAAAGGGATAGGAAACCCCGTACCGTAGTGGGCGTGTCCATGAACATAAGCAGTGCGCATGCCCATGAGTTTACAGTTGAGGGAACTCAAAAAATCTTGTATAGGCGATTTAAAACTCCTTGTTAAACCAACTTCTGAGAATTTGAGTTGGGCAAACGTGTATTTATTTGTTAGATGTCAAATTTATATTTCTGAGTCGGATTACAATACAATTGTGTGTTAGAACAACAATTGCCATTTACTTTTTTAACAGTGTACTGATCATAACCAATCTTCAGTACTATACCAACGCTACTAGACACAATCTCTCAGTTTGGAAGATTTTCGGGTTATAGGATCAACTGGTCTAAGAGTGAACTGTTGCCAGTTAGGATAAGGATAAGTTCACTTATCTTTGAATAGAGATTACTAGGGACTTTAATTCACTCTATGAAGCTAATTTCTCCCCCCTTGTGGTGAAGCTACAAAATAACATTCAGTTTTGGAAATCTCTTCCTATTTCCCTGATGGGAAGAATCAATGCAATAAAAATGTTTTTTCTCCCTCAGATACTTTATCTGTTTCAAATTATCCCCATCTTTTTACCTAAAACTTTTTTTAAGAAACTCGATTCTATAATTGTTCCATTTTTGTGGGACAATAAAACGCACCAAATTAGCAAAGCTCACCTTTGCAGGACTAAAGTGGAGGGTGGACTGGCCCTCCCAAATGTTTTATTTTACTATTACTCTTGTAGGGTATTACTCTTGTAGTGGGTTGAGAATGTTTTTGTTTAATTATGTCACTTTCGTTTCGTTTTGATTTTGTATTGTCTTTATGTTTTTTGTTCACATAAAAAAGAGGACAAATGTGTATTGTTGATGTTTCAATTTTCATGTATGATTCCTCAATAAAAAATATGGTTCCAAAGTCCCAAACCATTTGAAAACAAACGATGCAAAGAGCAGTGTTGCCAACTTAGCGCTTTAGTCGCTATATTTAGCCACTTTTCAGACCCCTCTAGCACTTTGATTTCTAAAAAGCTCCTAGCGCCAAATCTAGAGACTTTTTTCTGCTACTGGAGACTTTGGAGACAACATCTAAAAGCAGCGAACTCTGCTCTCCAGAGCCAGTAGATTGGTAACCCCGCCTCCTGCTCTCCTCCATCTCGTCTGCTGTCATGATTCAGTTGTTGTTTGATGTGTTGTCTTCTCAATTTAGGGGGCCCCCTGCCTGTCTTTGCCTAGGGCCTCAAATTTCCTAAATCCTCCCCTGCTCATTGCAAATAATGAAATAAATAAGTAATCCTGCTCTTATATCTCTCTGACTCTCAGTCCCATCATCCACCTCCTTCCTTCAGTCACTTCTCGGTTCCCTGCATCTATTTTTCCTCCATTTATTTAACTAATATTAACATCGACCAACTGCGCCCTCTATTGGGCAATTTCAATCATGACGCTGAAGCGCCATGGACTGGACCAATCAGAAGCTCGCTTTATCGTCATGTGACCTCGCGGCCAACTAGAAGAACGCCTAAACGGCAACAACAAACATGGCGGCGGCTCCGCTCAGCTTCATCTTGGAGAGGTGCTGGACGGAGGAGAAGGAGACGACGCTCATTGCGTTTTTCTCCAGTAAGTCCGACATGTTGGGCAGAGTCCCCCCCCCCCGCCTTTGGAACAGCTGCTGTGGGGGGGGGCCGGGGGGGCTCCCGGTGCCGCTGTTCCTCCGACAGGCGGGAGGGGGGGGGGGGCAACCGTTGCTCTACGGCAGCAACGGCTAGAAGCGATTAGCAACCGGTGCTAAGAGGGACCGAGAAATGAGTTGATAGGAATAAAACGATCTGAAAACAGATTAATATTGAACAGATGTTCCTCACCGGAAGAGAAAGACTCACATTAATGTTCATCATTTAAAGGGTTCGCTGTTAAAAGATCTTCCTCACTATCAATGAATGTTTATACTTAAAATCAATAATTCCAGAGAAAACAATAAATTAGTCTTTAACCCTTTATAGGGCAAGTTTTTGATCAACCCCCCCCCACATCCATCAGTGAGATCTAGAAGCATAAGATCTATATCCAGCAAAGATTCTGCTAAAAAGCTGCACACTGGAAAAGCAATCTTAGAATTAAGTTAAAATTTCCTAAATAAAGTAGATAAATGAGATAGTCTGCTAATGAATGAAGATTTTTACTCTTAGAAAATAATATGAACTTGAAATAAGACAATTAATTGTTTTCTTATTTGAAGTGTAAAGTGTCTCTTTTACCTCCTAAATCTAAGAACAAATTCACTTATTTTAAGAAAAAAAGACTAGATCTAGATTTGGATTTTTTTCTAGTTTACATCTTATTTTGGCATTTGACCAATTAGATGAGCCCTGGAATAATATATTACTACTGTAAATTAATTTTGGGGAAAAAAAGTAAAAAGCTAATTGAATAGTTAAAAAGTAAAGATAAAAAGTTAATAAGCCTAGTTAATAATTATATTTAGGTTTATAAACTAAAAACTCAGTACCGGTATCAGCATTAATGCCTCTAAGGTTACGTTTGATCAAAAAAATGTGTTTCTTTCTCTCAGAGTGTTTTTAAAGGAGTTCTTATAGAAGCATGTTTGTTATTTTTCTTAATATATTCGGGCAAGTTGGCGTTTCTTGTTATTACATTTACATTTATCTTTACCATCAATTATCCATATTTTTTAATGTTATAAAGGCAATAATGTCTTGTCTTGGATTCCAATTGTTAAAGATAGGCTCTCTGTGTTTCTACGCCTTGAAACTCTCTCTCTGGTTCTTTTTCCTGAAAAGATAAACTCTTTAAATAACATTTCATAACTTATATGTATTAAATAATCAGGAGACGTGATGACAGATTCTGATAGAAATTATAATCTTACTCAGATCAGAGAAGTTGCTTAGAGTTACAGAAGGCAGCTGCTCACCTCTCAGGAAGTGGCCCCGATTAACAGTTAACGAGGCATTTTATACGTCTCCAGTCTGACACATTTTACATCCTACACCTTAGCAGATGATAGACATCCATGGCTCCAGCCTTATCACAATAATACACTTTGTTCTTAGCTGAAGGACGCCGCTCTCATTCCGTTCACAAATCTTTGCCAAGTACAGAATGAAGATTATAACTGTAGGAACTGTCCTAATTAGATAAACTATTGTGGAAAACATCAGTTCTGATGCAACAGGCAGCTAATATTAAGATGTAATAAACTCACACATCATCAATGATAATTATCCTAACACAATAACTCTGCATCCTGTAAAGGGTTAATGGTAATATTTGAATTCCCTGGAATACCGATGATTTGTAGGCATGTTGCTGACCTGAAGAGTTTAAAGCAATTCCAGGCTGGAAAACCATCAGCAATAATTCTCCAGGCTCAGTTCATGTCCTGATTGATTGATTGATTGATTGATTGATTGACTGTATTGATCTCACAGCGGAGAAATGACCTCGTTCTAACAGCTCAAATAGTCAAAGGAAAAGAAGAAGGTGCCAAAGGAAGGTTAATGGGAGATATACAGTGTGTCCTAAAGTCTTTGAAAGCTTTATTTTTTTATTTTTTGGGGGGCGGGGCTATTTAAAAACTCATTTAGTTTCTCGGGGAAGGGAAAGACTTTTTCTTTTTTTAATCAAGTTTTAGTAGAATAAAACAGAAATGTTATTTATTGTCCCACATCGGGGGAAAGTCAGGAGATCGTAGAGCAAATGAAATCTTTCAGCAGTTTTAGAAAAAATATCTTATATAGTTTTGATAGAAATGTTTAATACATAAAGAAAAACAACAGAAAAGATGCAAAGTGAATCTGACTGTGTTCATTATTATTATTCCCCCACTGAAAGAAAAAAGTCATATTTTATTATAATCTAGAGACTATTAATAACGGGAGGTGAAATGAAACTCCAGACTAGCTTTGAATGTGATGATGTCATCAGTACGCTTCTGTTAAGCCAGATTTATTCTGCGTGCTCCCGTTCTTCCCGAGTCCAGACTTTCCTGGGTTCTAGTCAAGAACATACTTGGCGAGGACATGAATCTGTACTCGCGTTCTAGTGAATTGAGAACGGCCAAAGTTCGGACACTCGTTTAAAACTGCGTAACCTCTATATAGTGATTAAGGTGGACGTTCAGACACAGCAGGTTTTCTTTATTGTTTTACTCTATTATCTGTCCCCACGCCACCGCGTGTCTGGTGACATCATCATGCTGGGTTAGTGCGACAGAAATCAGGAAAGTAAACAATGAAGAGCATCATGGAAGGAAGCCAGGTCGTAGTCAGGTTGCTTTATTGTTTCTCTCTATTATCTGTCCCCACGCCACTGCGTCTCTGGTGACATCATCATGCTGGGTTAGTGCGACAGAAATCAGGAAAGTAAACAATGGAGAGCATCATGGAAGGAAGCCAGGCCGTAGTCAGGTTGCTTTATTGTTTCTCTCTATCTGAATCCGTCTAACCTGCTGCTCCTCGTTTATCCAATGGAAACAGCTGATTCTGCTGGTTAGATCAGAGGCGACTGGCGCGGCGTGTTGACGTCCGTACGTTGCGTTCAGTGGTTCCCACAGCATGCCGATCAGAGCCGAGGAGATTTTAACGCGAGTTGCTTGCTGAGCGTTAAACGGGTTTTAGAAACATTTCATCTACCACCTTTCCCACTGTCTGAAAAACCCGTTTAAACTGGGAACAATGGGCTTTTAGTGGTAGTGGCTACAACTCTGTGACGCGTGTCTCCCCGCGTCAAACGACTCGGCAAGCGACCCGCATGGCGCTGCGACAGAGTCATTTAGGAGGTGGTTTGTTTGGAACGGAGAGCAGGGCAATCTGAGAAACACCTCAAACCAAGGGTTCAGTAAAGCACAGGAGTGGAGGGCTGATGATGTGGGCTGTTCCAACCTTCTCTTTTATCACATCTTAATGAGGCTTCTCCCTCTTCTTGGTCTCTAGAGAACAGCTTCCTGTGGAACCACAAGTCCGAAGGCTACAAGAACCGGGAGCTGCGATGGAAAACGCTGGAGCGGCTCAGGGTCCAGCTCTCCTCCCAGCCTCCGCCGGTTCCTTTCACAGGTACCGTCGTTTAAGGAGCACCGCTAATCGTCCTCATCTCCAGGAATCTGGAATGATGTCAGATTAACTTTTAAACTACTTTAGAGCTGTTGGAATGTGTTCAAAGCAATTTATAATGAAAATACAAGAAGGTAATAAAAGATTATTTGGTTTAAAAATATTTCAATAAATTATTTCCCTTAAAGAGTAATCAGTAAGTGTTAAGATCCTAGATTCTTAAAGTTCGGTGATCATTCCTGAGGGAATAATGGACCCTTCAGCTTCTTTAGTAAGTGTTGGCTAGTTTAAGCTAGCATTTTCAAGGGGTCACAGTTGACAGTCGTAGGGAAGTCATCTTTAAATGTATTCTTCATCAGAGGAACGCTCCAGCAGGATCGTACTCAGATCCTTCTATTCCACGTCTGTCCAGTTTTCCTCAATTGGCCCAAAACCAATTATGATCTCTGGAAATTTAAGTAGGAAGAGATTTGAATATGAAATCTGTGCGATATCAGAAAACCTCCACCTTTGTTTTGTGTTTTCTGCAGTGGAAGACATCAAGAACAAGTTCAAGAACCTGCGTACGACCTTTCAGCGTCAGTACAAGATGGTCCAAGCGAGCGGCGAGGGCCTCTTCATCCCACAGTGGAAGCACTACCAGCAGCTGATGTTCCTGCAGGCCTGCTGCAGTCAGGAGGACCCGGCCAACAACACGCCCCCTATGGTTCCTAAGGAGGAGAACCAGTTCCCGCTCACCTCCCCTGGACTCCTCTCCTTCCTCCCCTCCCCGTCCTCCTCTTCATCCTCCGGCTTTGTTGGGAGGTGTTTCTGGACAGAAGAAAAGGAACGGGAGCTGATATCCTTCTATGCAGGTAATAAACAGAAACATCCCGATGAGTCTTCTTCTGAAGCGGTTTGTTCTTGACTGGACTTTGGTCCTTTTGCAGAACATGGCTGCCTGTGGAACCAGAAGTCTGAGAATCACAACAACCGTCAACTCAGACAGAACCTCTTGGAGTCGCTAAGGAAGCAGCTCTCAGACCAGCTGGTGTCTTTTTCTGGTAAACATGCTTCTGTAAATCTGCAGGTTAGCGGCCAGAACCAGGAGGCAGGATTACTGGGTTAGACGGATAAGTTCAGGTTCAACCCAGAACACAAATTAAATGAACATTTTACTAAATAAAACAATCAAACCTCCATCAGAGCCAACGGTCCTTCACACACGGCTACGCAGAGAGAGGGCTGCTAAAAATGGGCTAACGTTAGCCCTGAACGCTGCAGACGGGCTAACGTTAGCCCTGGCCGCCGCAGACGGGCTAACGTTAGCCCTGGCCGCTGCAGACGAGCTAACGTTAGCCCTGGCAGCCGCAGACGAGCTAACATTAGCCCTGGCAGCCGCAGACGAGCTAACGTTAGCCCTGGCCGCTGCAGACGAGCTAACGTTAGCCCTGGCAGCTGAAGACGGTCTAACGTTAGCCCTGGCAGCTGAAGACGGGCTAACGTTAGCCCTGGCCGTTGCAGACGGTCTAACGTTAGCCCTGGCAGCTGAAGACGGGCTAACGTTAGCCCTGGCCGTTGCAGACGGGCTAACGTTAGCCCTGGCCGTTGCAGACGGGCTAACGTTAGCCCTAGCCGCTGAAGACGGGCTGCAGCTGCAGACGAGCTAACATTAGCCCTGGCAGCTGAAGACGAGCTAACGTTAGCCCTGGCTGCCGCAGACGAGCTAACATTAGCCCTGGCAGCTGCAGACAAGCTAACATTAGCCCTGGCAGCTGAAGACGAGCTAACATTAGCCCTGGCAGCTGCAGACGAGCTAACATTAGCCCTGGCAGCTGAAGACGAGCTAACGTTAGCCCTGGCTGCCGCAGACGAGCTAACATTAGCCCTGGCAGCTGCAGACGAGCTAACGTTAGCCCTGGCAGCTGAAGACGAGCTAACGTTAGCCCTGGCTGCCGCAGACGAGCTAACATTAGCCCTGGCAGCTGCAGACGAGCTAACGTTAGCCCTGGCAGCTGCAGACGGGCTAACGTTAGCCCTGGCAGCTGAAGACGAGCTAACGTTAGCCCTGGCTGCCGCAGACGAGCTAACATTAGCCCTGGCAGCTGCAGACGAGCTAACGTTAGCCCTGGCAGCTGAAGACGAGCTAACGTTAGCCCTGGCTGCCGCAGACGAGCTAACATTAGCCCTGGCAGCTGCAGACAAGCTAACGTTAGCCCTGGCAGCTGCAGACGAGCTAACGTTAGCCCTGGCAGCTGAAGACGAGCTAACGTTAGCCCTGGCTGCCGCAGACGAGCTAACATTAGCCCTGGCAGCTGCAGACGAGCTAACGTTAGCCCTGGCAGCTGCAGACGAGCTAACGTTAGCCCTGGCAGCTGCAGACAACATCCGGGGACTTTGTCCGTTCTCGGTCTGCTGTTCTAGTGAACTGGAACAGTGCTAGGGCTGAGGATGATGATGTTTTACTCGGACACGATAATGCACAAGCACACATAGTGAGAAACGGCGTGACACTCTGTCTTCTGCTCACATGGTTCTGATTAGTCTGAACCCGCCCCTTTATACGTCCACAGATCAGGATGTGTTCAGCTGATAACCAGCTCAGTGCTACCGCTGATCCTGGTTACCATTGCTGTGCACTGGTTGAACTGGATAGACTGGGAGGACTCCCAGTAGGTTGAGGTGACTGGTCAGAAAGTCCTGATTCGTTTCTCTCTTCATTTCAGGTCTTTATCAGCCTGTTGTCCTTTAAAGATCGGAAGAGTTTAAAGTAGAGAAGTGGAAAGTTTTACTGCATAAAAACGTTTGTAAAGTTCTGTCAGTCAGAAAGCAGCATTTCATTAAAGTTCAGTGACACGCAGGTTTATTAGCCGACGGTTCCACGTGTTTTCAGGTAGAACAGATTCTATGCATAGACCCCAGAGGTCAGTCTGTTAACATCATGTCTTCTTTGCAGTGGACGACATAAAATCCAAATTCAAGAACCTTCGAACCGTTTTTAACCGGGAGTACAAGGCCGTCCAGGCCAACAGAGCCTCCGACAAACCCCACGTGTCCAAGTGGAAGCACTACCACCAGATGCTCTTCCTCTGCGAGTCCTTCAAAGAAGACGAGTCTGCTGACGACCTGCAGATAGTGATGGTGCAGGAGGGAAGGGACCCGGAGCGTCCGGATCACGGGAGCCAGACTTTATCCACCGGCTCCTTCAGAACCAGCAGCGCTGCAGATCACAGTGAAAATAAAAGCATCACCTGCTCAGCGTACCAAGTTCTCCTGGCTGCAGCTCCAGACCAGTTCAAACCAGTAGATCACAAAGCTGCTCCCACCGTCCTCAGCTCACCGGACAGGAAGACCTGCAGGACCTGGGTCCAGGCCGGAGACAGGATGACCTCAGAGCCTCGGTGCCTCTGGAGCGAAGCCAAAGTTCAGCAGCTCATCTCCTTTTATGCAGGTCGGTTTAAAATCCACTTTATTCAGGAGAAAAAAGGTTTAAACTGTTTATGAGTTTAACCAATCTGATTGTGATCAAACCAAATAAAATCAGCAGGAACTGGATTCCTTCTGAAGTCACTTCTAAATATGAAACATTGACCATCTGAATATTTAATCTCAGTGTCAAAGCAGCTGCAAAAAACTATCTAGAAATAAGTAAAAATGTCTAAAAAATAAATGTATTTAACCTTAATTTGAGCAGAAAGATCTTCCAATGGAATGAGGATTTTTACTCTTAAAATAAGATAATTAGATAAAATGAGCTTAAAATTAGACAATGCCATTCTTATATTATAGTTTTTGGCAGTTTATGGCTGCGGGGTCCCTCAGGGGTCTATATTCGGCCCCTTGGGTTCCATTTTTCTGAAATTAGTCGTTTCTCCATTATGCTGATGACTGCCATGTTTATTTTCCTGCGTAAAAGCAGGATGCTAACCCGCTAATTCTCTGCTAAAATGTCCGGAAGCTCGAATGGCTTCAATAGAAAGAAGATTTAAATCATATGGAGTGAATTATTGTTTCAAACAAATAAAATCTGATTTATGTGATACATTCTCGTTTTTGCTAAAGTCCAACGACCGATAGAAACTCGTCTCCAGAGGAAAGACCCCCCCCAAAAAAAGCCAATCAGTCAAGAATAAACTTAGAAAGCAAAATTTGAAAAGTTTGAAAATATAAAAAAATTCAGAAAATGTGAAAATATTTGCAATCATCAGATTCATAAAATAATTAGAAAATAATATTTGAAAAGATCAAAACTGGGAACAAAGCAAAGTTTCTATCTGAACGTTTTTTAAACTTTTCTGTATTTTATTCAAATTTTCATTTACAAAAAGGTGTTTGGACCCCTTACCGTCCTTACTGACCTCCCCTCGCACGGTGGAGGCAGCATTATGCTGCGGGGAGGAGGAAGGAAGGAAGGAAGGAAGGAAGGAGGGAAGGAAGACTTTTAACAACCTTTATTTACACAATTCAAACATAAAAACAATTGAGGTAAAACGAGTGTCAGATAAAAATCATTAAATGAGGAGCCTGTTTCTCCATCATCTGATGCAGAACATAATGTTGTTAAAACATCTGAATAATATCCTCCATGATCTGGGTGACTCTGTGGAAGTGAAACACGAGACGAGACGAGGACAGGAGAGGAGAGGACAATACAGGAGAGGACAGGAGGGGAGAGGACGGGACAGGAGAGGACGGGACAGGAGAGGAGAGGAGAGGACGGGACAGGACATGACAAGACAGGAGAGGACAGGAGAGGACGTTGTGCCTGAAGCTTCCTGGGTGTGATGGTTCTTCTGTTGTGTTCCAGAGCACAGCTGTCTGTGGAACCACCGCTTGGACAGCTACAGGAACCGTCTGCTGAGACAGAGCCTGCTGGAGACGCTGAGCGGCCTGCTGTCTGAGGACGAGGCCGTCCCCTTCACAGGTAACACAACCTGGGGCCGCTGCCTGGGGGGGCGATTACAGCCAGTTCTTAAGGCCGGGTCACACTGGCTGCATATAGAGATGAGCAGGATGAGCAGATCTGTCTCTGTACCGCAAATTAAAACAATTTCCCACATTTGAAGCAGACGGATTATGAAAAAAATAACAAAACACCGCCCTGAGCTCCCATCATGGGTAAAGTTTTCTATTTTAAGGTTTCATTATTTATGCCCTGCCTGCTTTAAACGCGCTGCATGAGTCCCAACTGACCGTTTTCTCTTCCATCAACAGATTTTATTTTCTATTTTCCCCCAAAGTGGATGTGTGTTAATTCCCTTTCCTACTGGCTGAAAAACCAGTTTAAACCGGAACAATCAGCTTTTAGTGGCAGTGGGAACAGCTCACTGACTCGTTTCGACTTTCGGGTCGACCCTCTGAATGACATCACACCATTGAATGCAACGTACGGACGTCAACACGCCGCGCCGGTCGCTTCTGATCTAACAAGCAGAAACAGCCTCTGTTTCCATTGGATAAACATGGGATAAGACAGATAATAGAGAGAAACAATAACGCACACTGACTACGCCCTGGCTTCCTTCCATGGTGCTCTCTGTTGTTCACTTCCCTGATTGCTGTTGCACTGGTGACATCATCAATTCTGACTGAGTGTGATCATCAGACACGCAGCAGCAGGAGACAGAGGCCACCCAGCTGCCAGTGAGGGGTTAGACCAGCTTTTCATGCCAGTAGGAAGGAAGCTAAATGCTAATTGTTAGCGGGTCGACCCATGATTGAAAAACATGTTACGGTGCTATTTTCAGTGGGAGGCTTTTTAACAGCGTCTTGCTTCCAGTTTGACCCATGAAATTGCTGCTGAATAAATAGACCTGAGCTCTATCTCAGTCAGAGCTATGCAGCACCCCCTGCAGGAAGTCGTGGAGGGTGCATCACCCCCGTATCTTCCCCCCCGACACGATTTCCTGTGGGATGGGATTGGGTATGTTCAGAACTTTGATTCAATTTCAATTCTATTCAGTTTATTTCTATAGCTCCAATTCACATCATGTCATCTCAGGTCACTTTATGGTTCACCAGATCATCCAGTCAGATTGGTTCAAAGTTTTCTATCTAAGGAAAACCAGCTGATTGCATCGACTCATTGACTCTTCAGCAATGCCTCACACTGAGCATGCTTGTAGCGACAGTGGAGAGGAAAAACTCCCTTTGAACAGGAAGAAACCTCCAGCAGAACCAGGCTCAGTGTGAGCGGCCATCTGCTGAGGCCCACTGGGGTTCAAGGAGACAGAAGCAGACGTAGAAAAAGAAGCATAGATACAAAAGGCAACTGTCAACCAGCTCCACAGGCGGCCCCGTCCAGGAAACACACAGCCAGGCAGACGAGCTCCGAGCCAGCTCCCATGTCAGAGGATGAAGAGAGCACATCCAGTTAGTCACAGTCAGAGAAACAGGACTACACTGGAAAATAGGCCAAGCTCCAACATCTAGAAACAAAGGTGTTGATGGCAGCAGCACAGCTGATATTTCTCTCCAGGATGGAGTCACAGCCAAACAGGAACAGACCAGATGAAGCTACTATGAGAAAAAGCAGAGAGAGCAGAACGTTAGAGATTGAACTAACAGATTCTGCAGAGTGGGAGAATAGAGATAGAATGAAGCAGAATGATGAAAAAGGGGTCCCTATGTCCTCCAGCAGTCTAAGCCTATAGCAGCAGAACTATAGAGATAGATCAGGATAACCTGAGCCACTCTAACTAGAAGCTTTATCAAAAAGGAAAGTTTTAAGCCTAGCCTTAAAAGTAGACAGGGTGTCTGTATGGAAGTAAATATGTGCCATCAGAATTTGAATAAAAAATACCTCTGAAATTTGAATGTTGTAAATTAGTGCTTACTTTTTCAGTATTAAAATAAATTCAGAATATATTTTTAACCTAAAAAAAATTCAGTCATTATTTGTACATAAAAAAAAAATTCAGTGTAATTTTTTTTACATGGTTGCAATTTTCAGTTATTAAAAAAATTCACATTCCTATTTCAAAGTGATCAAATTTTCAATATACATACAGGTGCTGGTCATAAAATTAGAATATCATGAAAAAGTAGATTGATTTCAGTAATTCCATTTAAAAAGTGAAACTTGTATATTATATTCATACATTACATACAAACTCATATATTTCAGATGTTTATTTTGTTTAATTTTGATGATTACAAATGACAACAAATGAAAATCTCAAATTCATCATATCAGAAAATTAGAATATTACTGAAGACCAATAAAAACAAAGGATTTATAGAAATGTTGGCCAACTGAAAAGTATGAACATGAAAAGTATGAGCATGTACAGCACTCAGTATTTAGTTGGGCCTCCTTTGGCCTGTATTACTGCAGCAATGCGGCGTGGCATGGAGTCGATCAGTCTGTGGCACTGCTCAGGTGTTATGATAGCCCAGGTTGCTCTAATAGTGGCTTTTAGCTCTTCTGAATTGTTGGGTCTGGTGTATTGCATCTTCTTCTTCACAATACCCCATAGATTTTCTATGGGGTTAAGGTCAGGAGAGTTTGCTGGCCAATTAAGAACAGGGATACCATGGTCCTTCAACCAGGTACTGGTAGCTTTGGCACTGTGTGCAGGTGCCAAGTCCTGTTGGAAAATGAAATCTGCATCTCCAAAAAGTTGGTCAGCTGCAGGAAGCATGAAGTGCTCTAAAACTTCCTGGTATGTGGCTGCGTTGACCCTGGACCTCAGAAAACACAATGGACCAACACCAGCAGATGACATGGCACCCCAAACCATCACTGACTGTGGAAACTTTACACTGGACTTCAAGCAACGTGGATGAAGTGCCTCTCTTCTTTTCCTCCAGACTCTGGGACCTTGATTTCCAAAGGAAATGCAAAATTTACTTTCATCAGAGAACATGACTTTGGACCACTCACCAGCAGTCCAGTCCTGTTTCTCTTTAGACGCTTCTGACGCTGTCTGTGGTTCAAGAGTGGCTTGACACAAGGAATGCGACAGCAGAAACCCATGTCTTTCATACGTCTGTGTGTGGTGGTTCTTGAAGCACTCACTCCAGCTGCAGTCCACTCTTTGTGAATCTCCCCCACATTTTTGAAGGGGTTTTGTTTCACAATCCTCTCCAGGGTGCGGTTATCTCTCTTGCTTGTACACTTTTTTCGACCACATCTTTTCCTTCCCTTCGCCTCTCTATTAATGTGCTTGGACACTGAGCTCTGTGAACAGCCAGCCTCTTTAGCGATGACCTTTTGTGTCTTGCCCTCCTTGTGCAAGGTGTCGATGGTCGTCTTTTGGACAACTGTCAAGTCAGCAGTCTTCCCCATGATTGTGTAGCCTATAGAACTAGACTGAAAGACCATTTAAAGGCTTTTGCAGGTGGTTTGAGTTAATTAGCTGATTAGAGTGTGGCACCAGGGGCCATCAATTTTGAACCTTTTCACAATATTCTAATTTTCTGATATGATGAATTTGAGATTTTCATTTGTTGTCATTTGTAATCATCAAAATTAAACAAAATAAACATCTGAAATATATGAGTTTGTATGTAATGTATGAATATAATATACAAGTTTCACTTTTTAAATGGAATTACTGAAATCAATCTACTTTTTCATGATATTCTAATTTTATGACCAGCACCTGTATTTTTCACAGTTTAAATTTTCAGTGTTAAAAAATTCAGCATATAAAAATTCAACTTTTCAAAATTCAAATGCAATATTTTCGTTGTCCTCCATTAAATTCACTGTCTCAAATTCAGCGTCTAAAAATTCGCTGTAAAATGGCCAAGGTTTACTTCAGGTCACAGACATTAGCAATGGATGTCCGATTCCAACATCCACCTAATCACGTGACACAACCGTCATATTGAAGAAGTACCAGTATCACCCAGGCTGGCGACCATGGAGGCGAACTCAAACCCAACGGTGAGTTTAATACTTTCATATTTCTGTAGTATATTTTATTTTGCGCATGAAGTTTGATACATTATCTTAAAGCCTGATTTAAAACACTGGTTTGGGCCGTTGTTAATCTTACACCGTGTAGTGCCGGCATATTACTTCTCACTACCTCCGAGCTAACAATACAGTAGCTGATCAGAGTGGAGTCGGAACTGTTCAAAGCCCCTCTTTGAAGCACACAAGACAGCCATATTAGCTTACTACATTAGCGGTAGCATCTCCTGGAAAATTACGACTTTACTAAGACTGCCTGGAAAAGTGGTATTTCTTTTTTAAATAAAACGGGGGAAATTGGGTGGGGGGAGGGGGGTAATATGCCGGCACTTCACGGTGTAAGATTAACAACGGCCCAAACCAGTGTTTTAAATCAGGCTTTAAGATAATGTATCAAACTTCATACGCAAAATAAAATATACTACAGAAATATGAAAGCATTAAACTCACCGTTGGGTTTGAGTTCGCCTCCATGGTCGCCAGCCTGGGTGATACTGGTACTTCTTCAATATGACGGTTGTGTCACGTGATTAGGTGGATGTTGGAATCGGACATCCATTGCTAATGTCTGTGACCTGAAGTAACCTTGGCCATTTAACAGCGAATTTTTAGACGCTGAATTTGAGACAGTGAATTTGAGCAAGTTGAATTGGAGGACAACGAAAATATTGCATTTGAATTTTGAAAAGCTGAATTTTTTATATGCTGAATTTTTTAACAATGAAAATTTAAACTGTGAAAAATATGTATATTGAAAATTTGATCACTTTGAAATAGGAATGTGAATTTTTTTAATAACTGAAAATTGCAACCATGTAAAAAAAATTACACTGAATTTTTTTTTTAATGTACAAATAATGATATTGAATTTTTTTTAGGTTAAAAATATATTCTGAATTTATTTTAATACTGAAAAAGTAAGCACTAATATACAACATTCAAATTTCAGAGGTATTTTTTATTCAAATTCTGATGGCACATATTTACTTCCATATGTCTGCCTCACGGACTAAAACTGGTAGTTGGTTCCACAGGAGAGGAGCCTGAGAACTAAAAGATCTGCCTCCCATTCTACTTTTAGAAGTTCTAGGAACCACTAGTAAACCTTTACGTTGTTCTCCTTCTTCTTTCAGTGGACGACATCAAGACCAAGTTCAGGAACTTACGGACCATCTTCCAGCGGGAGCACAAGGCGGTGAGCTCCAACAGAACCTGTGGCTCAGAGGACTTCTACCTCCCAAAGTGGAAGCATTACCTGGACCTGATGTTCCTCTGTGACTCTGAAGAGGAAGAGGAGCAGCCTTCGTCTCCACCCGCACACCCCTCCTACACAGCTGCCTCTACCCAGAGCCCGGAAGTCCCGCCCTCCCCGACTCCCCCAGACTCACGGCTCTCCTCCCCCTCTTCCTCCTCCTCCACGTCTTCGTCCCGCAGCAGGATGTCCAGCCGAAAGCGAGAGCGCCGGCGAGCGTCGGCCTCCGGCGGTGAGCTGATGGAGCTGATGAGGAGCGTCTGCCAGAACCGGACCCAGTCGCCACACGCCGGCTTCCTGAAGTATGTGGAGGAGTGTCTGAAAGAGGCGCCACCGGACAAAGTGAAGAAGCTGAAGAAGATGATCATCGAGACGATCCACAGGGTGGAGGAAAACGGTTAGAGATCCCAGGTCTACGTTCCAGCGCCGGGGGACTCGCCTTTGCTGCTGTCCCTGCGCTGCAGCAGAACATGGAGAGGACAAGCAGCTCCAAGTCGCTTCCGGACTCCGAGTCTCCTAGAGATGACGGTGGAGGTCTGACCTTCCAGGTTTGGTTTCCTCTGTCGAAGTTCTCCTTCCGCTGCTCCAACAGAGTCCAGACTGGGATCAAATCTGGGAAATCCGACCAGAACGTTTTTCTTGTGGCGTTCCGGTTGATCCAGGGCGGCCGACTGAAGATCCATGTCGGTTTCTACCTGCTTCTGTCTGGTTTGTTCCTGCAGGTGAAGCCGTTTAGTCAGATGGAGCGACTGGCACCGGGTGTCATTCCGTCGGGTCACGCTCAGACTGTCCCACCTGAAACAGGCTGGACCAATCACAGCGCGGGACGATCAACCGAAGGAGAACAGGAAGAGAAAAGCTGAACCTAAATCAGTTTTAACCACAGCAGTTCTTTTAAAATCATTTTTTAAATCTCCTCTTTTTTGATGGAAAACTTACAGATTGCTGGAAAGTTCAGAAAAGCAGAGGTTTAGTTTAAAGACCTGTTCTATCTGTAGGGGGAAAAAAACATGGTGCTTTATTTTTCTACAAAGTATAAATCCTTTTTTCTTCCCTTTGACATATTTTCAGGAAATAAAATAGTTGCATAACGATTTAAAATACATAAAAATGTTTGCCTAAAAATGTTTTATTTGAAAATCATGTTATTCTGTTTGTATTATTTAAATACAGATTCTTTAATGACATATTTAATGACTTTTATAAGGTTTTGTTTTAATCTGATACTGGTGCCATATCAGAATCACCTTATTAAATATAAGATGTATGAAACATTTTTGGGTTATCTTTTGTTTTTCTTTAAATGAATACATTTCTTTTCATTGTTTTTGTGACAAGTTTAGTTATTTCAAAGTTTACTCTACAGTTCAAGCTCACATAAATCAGATTGGTTGCTATCTCATTATCTGCCACTAGAGGTCAGTGTCTAACCAACTATCAATGTTTTGTGGCGTTTTTATGGGAAATCAACTTTTGCTCAGTAGGGAAAATTTTTTCTTTGAAGAAACGTTGAGGTGCTGGGTTCCACCTGCAGAACCTCAGTCCAGGTTCCTGCCATCTGACGGACCTGGAGACTCGGATCAGATATTCCAGGATCCTGAACCTGGAAAGTGAAAGCAGCAGTCTGCAGTTCAGAGGGACGGAGGTTCCAGGAACTCTTCAGATGTAAAAGCTCTTTAATCTGACCTCCAAACAGCTGATTTGGTTTCTAAAGCAATGCAACCAGCAGAAGCTGTAATCTGGTTTTAATCTGGTTCCAGTGTGAAAGCAAACCGAGTCCAGCTCTGGTGTGGAGGATCGGATTAGAAAGTCGCCCTTTGACTCCAACATCCTTTTTTTACTCCCAGCTGATCTGCATTCCTGCTCCGCCGTGTTTTCGGTTTCCTTCAGCTCGCTCGGCCTGTCCTCCTCATGCCTCCTCCTCTCTGCACCTCCTCCTCCTCCTCCTCCTCCTGTCTTTTCTCTTTGCTCAGTGAGTCGCAGTAAATCCTATTGTGATGCTAAACTGATCTGGGCAGAGAGGGAAGGAGAGCAGAAGCTGCGGGTCTCAGTTGGAGCAGATTCTCCTTCTTCTCCTCTCAAACTTTCGGGACTCCTTCCAGACTCCATCCGGCCTCCTGTTGGACTTTAACCGCCGCGGGATCCGCGTCTTTCTGCGCGCGCGCCGGGAACGCGCCCTGCGGGGAGGACTGGACCCCCCCCCCCCATCTCTGTTTCTCTACAAACCACAGGATTTGTAAATGAGCAGCGATGCACCTGTGAAGGATCCGGGGTTCGCTTCATTCTGGGTTCCAGCCCCGCAGGCCGGACATGGAGAGCCGCGGCCGGGCGGGGCTCCAGCCGGCGGGCGGAGGGGGAGGCGGCTGGGTGCTGGTGGAGGCCCGGCTGCAGGGGGGAGCTCCGTGGGGCTTCACGGTGCAGGGCGGCCTGGAGCACAGAGAGCCGCTCATCATATCTAAGGTGAGTGAGGAAGGAAATACTTTCTCTAACTTTTCCTTCAGCCGGCCCGAAGAACAAGTGAAAGGAGCCGATTAAAGGCCAGCCGGCCAGCAGGGGGCGCCCTGTAAATTATAGCAGATTTAGAAAGTTAGTTGATTTTTAAAAGTGAAGTAAAATATCCAATAATTCAGATATAGTGATTGATGACTAGATCTGTTTTTGTTCAGTTTGATTATCATATAAAATATCAGGTTTGCTGAGAATTAGCATCTTTCTTCATATTGATTAAAATTATATTTACTGCATTTGTTCAGCAGACATCAACATGCTCCACAGTGAGCTGCTAAACTACCGGCTTAGTGGAAAGTTTGATGGAAGGAAAAAGTTTGTAAGGTACACAAACCAAAGCCTTTACAGGATCAAACTCCTACAAAAGCTCAGGGAGGAGCAACCTAAGCCTAGCTTAGCGCTGATTCATGCTCATAAACCAGGTGGTCTGCATGTGTCGCAGTTAACGCAGATATGCCCCGCCCCCTTCCGCAGACACCCCTCCAAAATTGTAGGTGACCGCAGACAGGAGGCCTCTGATTGGTCAAATCTAGGGCGCTCTACTCTATGCGTATTTCCTGTTTGGTTCCTTACCGGCTTGTTTTGTTTGTCTGACCGCCATTGTGGAAAACGACTGGTGAAGATGGAGAAGCTAGCAGAGCGAGGTGCGTGAGAACGCTGGGACCCTTTTTCCACCTGGATCCCCGCTCTTTTTGGCCCTCATGTTCCTCCGTTGCCACAACTGGATGTAAAACTTTTTATAGGTTAGGTTTTTGTTTGTCAGGTCAGATTTTTTAGCACAGAAATGCCATGTTTTGGCTTAATCCGGGCTAAACCGTTAGATTTTTTGCCCTTTTCGGGCCAATTCTCCAGTTGTGCAAAACTTTCGATCGGGTCGAGTTTCAGCATGATGGTACGTGGTGTAGTGAACAGGGGGTAGCGAGGGGTGACCTCCCCATCCTGAATTGTAAAGTTGGGAGAAAATCAAACATGTTTGAAATTCAGTCGGCCGTCGTCAGGTGGTCGTAGGTAAATCCTGCTGTTGAAGCAGAGCTATGAACCGATTTACCTCGAGCATTGTGCATCTGCAAACAGGGGTGTTTTCTTCCAGATAGACGAGTCCGAGTAGCGCCATCTCACCGCGGAGCTGAGTTCCACGTGGTTTTTAGACGTACAGTGTGAGCAGGTAGATCGCATCAGAGCGTCGGGTCGCACAGTGTGAGAACCAACATGGTGAGCTGTAAACTTTTGAACCTGTAGTTTCATCGTGCAGGTTGAGCTGCAGCTGCGTGCAACAATTGAAAAAAAATCACACAGTGTAGGCCCGACTTTAAACAGTCGTCAAACTGCTAACTTGGTAGATCCACTGTGGAACATCATGGAAACCCTGCAGTAGACCATAAAAAAGGCGGCTGCAAAAGATTCTGCTTTTTAACACTTTGCTGTTTTTAGGATTATTAATGGAAAGTTGAGCGGAAGGAAAAAGATGCACAATAACCAGATGTGACTTAAACCTGCAGTTTGGGAAAGAAAGCCGACTCCAGGCGTTCAGGGTTCAGACTGCAGCTGGAGTCCAGCCAGTCTAGGAAGATCCTTATTGGATGTTTCTTCTTTAGGTACTGAGATATTAATGCGTTCTCATTAAGCTCAGATTAGTCTCTTTACAGTAAAACTCATTTAAAACAGTTTTTACTCAAATCCATCAGCTAGCTTCTCTCTGCTGATGAAATGAGAAACTGTTCAGCATAAAGGAGCAGCAGCTGTGCTGCATTAAAAACGGCTCACAGGCAGAAAAAAGAAAGAATCATGGACGTTTTTTCAGATTCATGGATGAATCTGAATTTCCAGGAGAGTTTAACAAGCTGCGGTCCAGAGCCATGCTGCCACCACAGCAGAGCTTGTGGCAGAATTGAAACTGCTCTGATTCATGATAAGCATGAAGGTCTAACTGGAAACCAGCAGGAGGAACCTGGGAGAAACAGGAACAGAGTTAGCATGTAGCATCCAAGGAAAGCTAAAGCTCCTGATTGGTCAGATTGCAGGGTATCAGTAGCGTCCGGATGCTAAACAGCAGAGCTAATATCAGTCATTAAAAATAAAAACAGAAAATGAGAAACTGCTGAAAAACGGAGAGATTCAGAAAAATCAGAAGTTTTTTGTTTTATGTTTGTGAAATAATGAAATCATAATCTGAGAGGAACCGTTAATGACGCCTCATCGGTTCATCCTGACCTCATTTTATTAAAATGCAAATCAGCGGGGGGGGGGGGGGGTTATAGGGCAGGAATGTGAATAATGAGGTTTTCATTCCTGCTCTTTGGATTTAAGGTGGTCTGGCTCACAGTTCTGACCCGGTTCTGACTCGGCCCACTGTTCTAACCATGAAGGGACATAGTTTGCAGGTTTTCTTCTTCTTCTGGTTTATTCTGGTTCTGATCCGATGATGAAGATCACTGAGAAGGTTCTGGATAATCCTGCCTCCTTATATTAGGAGAAAAGGTTTGAATCAGTTCTGACCGCCATCAGAACCGGTCAGAACCAGATTCTAGGCTTTCATTCAGTTTTACTTTTTATTTTTTGTGTTTTAGTTTATTTTCTATTTTTCATTTTATTTTAATCGTTTTTTTGTTTTTTCATCTTGTTCACAATCACTAAAATACAGAATTTTCTCTATTATTTTAGTAAAGTTTAATTCACATTAATTTAATTCACATTCATTTAATTCACATTAATTCACACACATTTCAATTCCTTTGAATTGTTTTTAAAATTATTTTCATTATTAATTAATTTATTTATCTAAAGCTTTTTTAAATAATAATTTAATAGACTGTTGTAACGCCTTAGAGCTTTTTAAATCCACATCCATCATCCATCCATCCATCCATCATCCATCCATCATCCATCCATCATCCATCCATCATCCATCCATCATCCATCCATCATCCATCCATCATCCATCCATCATCCATCCATCCATCATCCATCCATCCATCATCCATCCATCCATCCATCCATCATCCATCCATCATCCATCCATCCATCATCCATCCATCATCCATCCATCCATCATCCATCCATCATCCATCCATCATCCATCCATCCATCATCCATCCATCATCCATCCATCCATCATCCATCCATCCATCCATCATCCATCCATCCATCATCCATCCATCATCCATCCATCCATCATCCATCCATCATCCATCCATCCATCCATCATCCATCCATCATCCATCCATCCATCATCCATCCATCATCCATCCATCCATCATCCATCCATCATCCATCCATCCATCATCCATCCATCATCCATCCATCATCCATCCATCATCCATCCATCCATCCATCATCCATCCATCATCCATCCATCCATCATCCATCCATCCATCCATCATCCATCCATCCATCATCCATCCATCATCCATCATCCATCCATCATCCATCCATCATCCATCATCCATCCATCATCCATCCATCATCCATCCATCCATCATCCATCCATCCATCCATCCATCATCCATCCATCATCCATCCATCCATCATCCATCCATCATCCATCCATCCATCATCCATCCATCCATCCATCATCCATCCATCCATCCATCATCCATCCATCATCCATCATCCATCCATCATCCATCCATCATCCATCCATCCATCATCCATCATCCATCCATCCATCATCCATCATCCATCCATCCATCATCCATCCATCCATCATCCATCATCCATCCATCCATCCATCCATCATCCATCCATCCATCATCCATCCATCATCCATCCATCATCCATCCATCATCCATCATCCATCCATCATCCATCCATCCATCCATCATCCATCCATCATCCATCCATCCATCATCCATCCATCCATCCATCATCCATCCATCCATCATCCATCCATCCATCCATCATCCATCCATCCATCATCCATCCATCCATCCATCATCCATCCATCCATCCATCATCCATCCATCCATCATCCATCCATCCATCATCCATCATCCATCCATCCATCCATCCATCATCCATCCATCCATCATCCATCCATCATCCATCCATCATCCATCCATCATCCATCATCCATCCATCATCCATCCATCCATCCATCCATCATCCATCCATCATCCATCCATCCATCATCCATCCATCATCCATCATCCATCCATCATCCATCCATCCATCCATCATCCATCCATCCATCATCCATCCATCATCCATCCATCCATCCATCATCCATCCATCCATCATCCATCCATCATCCATCATCCATCCATCCATCATCCATCCTTCCATCCATCATCCATCCATCCATCATCCATCCATCCATCATCCATCCATCCATCCATCCATCCATCATCCATCCATCCATCCATCCATCCATCATCCATCCATCCATCCATCCATCCATCCATCATCCATCCATCCATCATCCATCCATCATCCATCATCCATCCATCCATCCATCCATCCATCATCCATCCATCATCCATCCATCCATCCATCCATCCATCCATCATCCATCCATCCATCATCCATCCATCATCCATCATCCATCCATCCATCCATCCATCCATCATCCATCCATCATCCATCCATCCATCCATCATCCATCATCCATCCATCCATTCATCATCCATCCATCATCCATCCATCCATCCATCCATCCATCTTCCATCCATCATCCATCCATCCATCCATCCATCCATCCATCCATCCATCCATCCATCCATCCATCCATCCATCATCCATCCATCCATCCATCCATCATCCATCCATCATCCATCCATCCATCATCCATCCATCCATCCATCATCCATCATCCATCCATCATCCATCCATCCATCCATCATCCATCATCCATCCATCCATCCATCCATCCATCCATCCATCATCCATCCATTCATCATCCATCCATCATCCATCCATCCATCATCCA